GCACTTACCTCCTTTTCTTTTGACCAAGGTTGAGTTCCATAAACTTATACTTCTGGTACTGTTCATCCAACTTCTTTAGTACTATATCTGCAGTTTCATTCCCAGGCTGTTTCATGAAGGAATCTACATCTTCCTTTAATAGAAAAAAAAAAAGATATAAGTAGTATTAAAAATCTTAGACTTCACGCTACTTTGATTTTTTGACTCCTTTATTAAAATATAACAGCTGAAAAAAAAAAGGTTGTGTTTCTTTTCCTCCAAAGGTTTCTGTTGTTTTGAATTTTTTTCCAAAAGTTTTTTTTTAACTACAATTGCAGTTATAAAAAGTTAGAGACAATTTCAAACCCAAACCCAAACCCAGTGCCTTCAAGTTGATTCCAACTCACCGCAACCCTATGGGACAGAGTAGAGCTGTCCCATAGGGTTTTCAAGGCTGTCAACCTTTACAGAAATAGACTGCCTCATCTTTCTCCCACAGAGCAGCTAGTGGGTTCAAACCACTGACCTTTTGGTTAGCAAATACTTTAACCACTGCGCCACCCGAGCTCCTCTATTTCAGACAGTACACAGAGATGATGTAGCTCATTTATTCTTCCTTCACTGTCCTCTTTTTAATTTATATTTATAAGTAGGAAAACAAAGATGGCCTTGCCTGCTTTATGCATGCCCCCAGCAGCTCTGGTAGTGAAGAGGAAAATTCACTAACAAGCACTGTCTATTGTGACCTAAGCACAATGACTCAACAGGCTGAAATGATCAATTTCATTATTTTGTTTCTAACTCAACAAGTGCTGCCACAGAAATCATGCTAAATATGGTCATTAGGCTTCCCAGGCAAGCCACAAAACCCTGCTTCCAGACCAAGCAGCTGAAATAAAGTCAACCTAAAAGACACACATCGTGTAACAGGAATAATGAAGCCGAAGAAAAACAGTGAAACCAAATAGCAATTTGCTAATTAATTCAATAACAATCAGGAACTAGATGAAAATATATGGAAACATGAAGAGAGTCTAAAAGGAGCCCTCTAGTACTTTAAAGGATTTTAGTTCTTCATTACAAATAACTTAAACTCGATAATCTTATAGCTTCTGAGGATTTCCATATCATTATTCTTAACCGGGCTTACTAGCTGTAAGGGCCTATTTTGGCCAAACAAAGCAGGATGAAAGAAGGAAGAGAAACACAGCCAAGGAGTCAACTCTGAAGCCACCAAGCTAGAAGCTCCTTGAAAGTCATTGAAAAGGTAAGGCTGAGAGTAAACGGCGGAGCTTTGTGTGGAAATGGAGATGATACATCTTCCTAACAAGGGAACAGAAAGCCATCTGCTTCTAGCACATGGTACATGCTACTAGGAGCTGAGAGCCTAGCAGTCAGCATGCACTACAGGAGCGTGGGATTGTGCTTAAGAGACAGGGCTGCCTGATTTGAACCCAGGCTTCACCACTTACTAGCTGACCCTGGGGAAGTTATTTAACCTCATCTGTAAGAATGAAATAAAAGCAACTTTTCCTCACAGAGGATTAGATAGATGAGCTAGCACGCTTTAAAATGTTT